TGCTGAGGACGGCATCTGTGCCCTCCTCTGAGAATGATACGGCTTCTGTGGCAGCAAATCTTAACTGGTTTGAGATGGGGCCTAAAGATACAAGGACAAGACAAAAACTCCTTCCGGTTCCCTTCCGCTCCAGCTCCTCCCCTTGATGACTCTTTCCTTCCTGTTATACCTATGTTTTCACCCCATCTTTTAAATATTTGACTTACTGAACTTCACTCGATACCCAAACAAAATCTTCCAGGAGAGGTCTCCTAACAGCTCCCACCACCAACAGCTGTTCCTGATACACGGGCACACAGGCCTTTCAGACGTTGTGAAGAAACTAGCTCAAGGGGACCTTCATCTCGCTCACCCCAGGCAGACACAACTCTTTACATTTGCCTCTGCTTTCTCCTCTTCCCTTCCTCTGATGCTCCGCGGCTCCCTGCTACTTCGGCTAGCTCGTTTTGGTGCAATAGGACCAGTCAGTGGCGCCCTGACTCAACTCTCTGCTCACTGCCCCTCACCCGCCCACTCTGTGTCTCCATCCTCTGCTCCTTCCCCTCCCTCAGCCTTCCCAGGATATCTCTCAGTCCTGCTCTGTAACCAAATCATCCGCTTACAGCCCTCTAATAATTATTTCTCAGGTATCTTCAGGAATAGCAGACAGCAATCGCCTGATGCAGCACAGCAGATCAAGTTAGGACTCCACGCCTCCTCCCACAAGACCAGAGGACCCCCTCTTCAATGGACTCAGAACTAGCCCCTCCAACAAAGACCCTCCTCAGCAGAAAACAGGTACAATACCCCTGTCCTGCATATTTATTATTTCATATCCTCTCAGAATTAGGAATGATAGTTTCCTGCTAAAAGACTACACTTCCCAGCTTCCCTTTTGGAATACGGAAATCGTTTCTGCCCCTTTAAGGGGCCCCATCCCATCTTCTTCTGTAGGCATTTTGGCCATCCACACACATGGGTCACAAAAATGCCCTCATGCTGTGAATAAACATGGCCTGGCCTAAGGTCAAACCAAGCCTTCTGTCTCTACAGCTGCCTTTTAATAATCCAGCAATGCCCATCAACCCGGTGGACAGGTCGAGTTATAGTGATAATAGGGTACTATATTAGGGTTCTTTAATAATATCTATATATATGTATATATAACTTGTAAGAGTATATTTATTAATATTAGATTGGCTTATACAGTCAAATGCTGAGTGGTCTCACAACAGTAATCTGTAGATGGGAGAGCCAAAGAAACTGACTCATTTTAAGAAGTTGGAAGCTCAAGGGTGACCAGTGTCACAATTCCAGTCCAAGGCTGAAGGCCTGAAGGTCCCCAGGAGAAACCCTGGTCTAAGTGAAATGAATGATCAACGGTGCTGGTGGCGGTGCTCATTACCTGCTGGTAAGTAAGGCCACAGTCAGGACAGAACCCAGTTGCTTAGTAGCAGAGAGCTTTATTAGGAGGAGGGACAAGAGGACCAGGCCTGGGGAGGAGAGAGAAAGACGGTGGGGTGGAGGGAGAGGGAGCAGAGCAGAGCAAAGAAAGAGAGGGTGGGGTCTGCGACCAGCTTTCCAGGGCTCCCTGTAAGGAGCTACACCATGCAAGCGCTGATTGCGTGACCACGCCGCCGCAAGTAGTCGCCAGCGCACATTGATGACGTAAGACACAAGACCTTTTGCGTAACTACTGGGCTGTGCATGTGTGGTCATGCAGGTGGAGTAAGGGCAGAATTCTAACACTATGTCCGTTCTCAAAGGCTGAAGTGCCTGAAACCATGTCCGTGGGCAACAGCAGCAGTAAAAATGTGCCTACTCAAGATGGGAAGTGGGTGTGCAGACTTCCCTTTCTTTTTCTTTCTTGTTCTGTCAGACACACACACACACACACACACACACACACCACACATGCACCCCCGTTGACTGGGTGGTGCCACCCCATGTCTTCCCACTCCGTTCACGGCCCCATACAACAATCTGCTCTGGAAACACTCACGGACAATCCCCAGAGAATGCTCTACCCATCCTTAAGCGTACCTCAACCCAGCAGAGTTGACAGCCCAAACTAGCCATCACGGGATCTGCTATTGAAAAATCAATCCGTTCTGTATAAACAGGCCCGGCATAATCTCCAGAGGGAGCAGAATCAAGTGAACCTACGGTGCTGTCGTTTGCAAGGCGGGCACTGGGATACACAACTGGGAACGAGACCCAGGAAGAGCTTCCCCTTGTACAGTGTCTTAGAGCAGGCTGCCCCGCTTTGCAAATCCCAGGAAAAACATGTCCATTTCATTCCGCTGCTCAGTGACTAAGCCAACCCTGACTGGAGGGAATGGAAGGAGATTCTTCTTTGCTATGAGAGGAATGTGAAGGTCACATTGCCGACAGACCTGTTGGACAAGGGATTAATACAGCTGTCCTTTTTGCAAAATGCTTGCACTGAGGATTTCTTCTCGGACGTCTGGTCATGTGAACATCCGAGAACACGCCAAGATTCAGACTGGCCATGTCTATACTCATTTGTACACTGGCTGTTACTAATCTCCTCTTCCTTCGCTGGCTCAAGTTCCCAACATGTCCCTAGGAGTGACCAGCCCACTCATCAACAGTGCCACACTCTGGAGATTTCTGCGTTTCCTGTTTATTTTCACTGCTTTTCAGACTTACACATCGGATTTCCTGTTTTTACCCAGCACCTGGGTAAAAAGTGCAACGTTGAAATGCTGGGTCAATGAGATAAATAAGGAATGGCATTAGAATAAAAAAGAGGACTTTTCAGCGGCTATCAGAGACTTGTGGGAGTGAAACTCTGTGTGTGTGTGTGTGTGTGTGTGTGTGTGTGTGTGTGTGTGTGTGTGTGTGTGCATATGTGAGATTGAATGCTTTTAAAATGAGGTTAGCCGGGTGTGGTGGCACACACCTTTAATCCCAGAACTCAGGAGGCAGATGCAGGTGGAAATCTATGTGTTTAAGGCTAGCCTGGTCTACACAGTGGATTAGAGGCTAGCCAAGATTACATAGCGGTACAACAACAACAACAAGGAGTTTAGTAATGTTACAAATTTGTGTTTCTAAAATTTAGATGCTCAGGGCTTGATTTGTGGGGTTTTCTCAGCAACATGGGCCATATTCACTCTGGTTTGAGTACCAATGAAGAACTACCAAGCTTTCTGATAATTTCTATTTAGTGAAAATAATTTTTTCCATACAGTATATTCTGATCACACCCTGTCTCCTCCCAGATCTTCCCCAACTCCCCATCCATCCAACCCCATGACTTCTTTTTCTCCCTATTTAGAAAGCAAACAAGTCAATAAAAAAGTAAACCAGAATAAAACAAAACAGACAGAGAAAAGAAAGCATAACAAATAAAAAAGGAAAACCACAAGAAACACATTCACACAAAGATACACACACATACACACAACCCACAAAAACACAAAATTGAAAACCACAATGTACAAGCAAAAGACAAGGAAGGTAAAAAAAAAAAATGCCCAAACAAAACATTATGAGACAAAACATTTCCAGAAATACTGTTGAATTCCTTTTATGTTGGCCATCTACTGCTGGGCTTGGAGCCTGTCCTTAAGTGTGATTTATAGAACCTGTAAGACGCCAGTGGAGAAAACTGATTTTTCCTTTGTGAGCTGTTGTCAACTGGAGGTCACTTCCGGGTCAAAGATGGGGGCTCATGTCCATGTCCCATCTCAGTGTTGGAACCCCATAAGGCTTGGACCTGTGCACGCTGCCATGGTCTCGGTGGGTTCATCTACACGGCAGTCCTGTTGGTGATGGAAGGCACTGTTCCTTTGGTTTCTTCCATCCCCACTGACTCTTACAATCCTTCTGCCTCCCCTTCTGCATAGTTTCCTGAACCCTAAAAAAAAACCTATTTTTTAAATGTCCAATATTTAAGTCACTTATTGCTCAGTAAAATAAAATAAAATCATGAGCTTTGAGGACATGGAAAAACAGAAATGCCCAAAATTACAAAGAACCTTTCCCTAACATAAAATGGCTCTATGCAGCTTCCTCTCTCTGAAGCACGTGATATGGAGAGGGGAGACAGAAAAGCAGCAGAGGTAGACACTGCTCTGTGTGGTGGAACCAGATCCGTGGCCACTGCTCTGTGTGGTGGAACCAGATCCGTGGCCACTGCTCTGTGTGGTGGAACCATATCCGTGGCCACTGCTCTGTGTGGTGGAACAGCATCCATGGCCACTGCTCTGTGTGGTGGAACCACATCCATGGCCACTGCTCTGTGTGGTGGAACAGCA